CAGCATTCTGGTTAGGTCGCTAAACAGCAGGTCTTCCTGTTCCTCTTTTCCCTCTTCAAATCAAAATTAAAAAAGCCCTTAATGGCTTCCTGGAAGAGAGCTGCCATTTCAGCTCAGTGTCCATGTGAGAGAGAAATAAGCTTCCATCTCAAGTCTCTGTGTTTTCAGCTAAATCTATATCCTAATACATTGACTAAAAATCAACACAAAATAAATGCAAACTTACCTACTACATGTGTCACATTAAATTAGTTAATATGTCTTTCTCTCTATCTATAAATAATTACACTTTCTACATTTTAAATTACTCTTCATAAAATGCACTTTTGATAGAGAGTCATTCAAAACACCATTGCTTTCTGAATTAAGGACATTCAACACTCCACAATTTTTCCAGCTTCAGCTACTCACGTTACTCTCCTCACGCACATCTCCACCTTCTTTGGTCATATTAGAAAGTTGCACTTTGAGGGCCTTGCCTGTCCTTCCTCTCTGCCTGTACAAGTCTTATCCACTGCATTATTATTATTTTTTAAACAGTCATATAAAACACTGAGGGCTTTGGAGTCAAGTGGGCCTAGCTGGATGCCATGGGGTCCCCATATGACACTCTTTGACTTTTCCTCATAGTACTTCTCACAGCTTGCGATTGCACATTTGGTCACTTTCTGCCTCCCCTACTGGACCATAGCTCCACGGAGGCAGGGATGATGTCTATTTGTCACTATTTTATCTCCAGGAGTAGCACAGCGCCTGGCAATTGGTAGACAGATACTAAATATTTGTTGACTGAATGAAAAAGTCTCTGAATCTGTTTTCTCATCAATTAAATGAGACTAATAATATCTAACTCACAGGGTTGTTGCTAGAAATGTGAAAAATAAAATGAGGTAAGGTGTGTCAAAAGACTGGCACATAGTACGTACTTAATAGATGGGAAGCAATATTGTCCAGTGATTCACAACACAAATTGTAGAGTGAGATCCACTTGGGTATGGCTTTAGCCAGAGCTTTGCTGCATGACATAGGATAAGTTTTTTATTTTTTCTAGTCCTCAATTTTTTCCTCTATAAAGCTGAGATAATAAAATTTACCAAGCATTATTGTTTAATGTATTAAATTTGATCATCTATGTGACTATCACAGTGTGTTGCCTAATAGGCGTTCAATAATAGTATCTATTGCTATACATCAGCCATCTAATTGTTCATTTATTTATTCAGCAGGTTTTATTGACTGCATACTCTGTGCCAGGTATTAGGCTATGTGCTAGGAATACAATAGGAAACAAATCAGAGTGGACCATCGGGTGCACCTCATGAAATCTACAGACTGGTAAAGTAGACCATTAGATAAATAAGCATGCCAATAAATATGTAAGTACTGATTGTGGATAACTGCTAAGAAAGGAGAGACACTGTGTGATGAGAAGATACAAGAAAGGGCAGGAATTTACAGGAATAGTTGTTCTTCATAACTCAGCTCAAATGAGAATAGCTCTACGAAACTTGTCCCTCAATTTTATGGCCTTTCTTCCTCTTTCAAATCTTATACCACAGTATAATTTTATCACATTTGCTTTATTTTTCTTTTTACTTATAAGAATAGCCAATAATAAGAGCTATTATTAGCTATTTGTATGAGTCTAAGGTAAACCCTTGCCTAACCCTTGCCATCTGGACTATAAACTTCTTGCAGGTAAGATCTATGTCTTATTCCCTCTGTTGTATCTGTAGGACCTAGCAGGGGTCCTGGCACAAACTAAGGGCTCCAGGAATATTTGCAGAATAGAGATAAATCTTATTCTTTTATTTGACTTCTGAATATTAAAAAAATTTACCCTAGTTCAAATTATTCTCTCTGATCTTCACATGATAGACTATTTCTTTAGTTAGTGAATTTATATACATCAATTTCTTTCACATGTAATAGATGATGAATAAATAAGAAGCAAGTTACTATAGCCAGAATTTTAATCATGGAAAAAAAGCTTTAACATCCCATAGCAAGGTAAATACTCTTGGAAAAATTCCAGATTGAAATCCCTTGACCAACATTTGCAAATGTTCTGTTTTCTGCAATATTTGAAAGAACCTTCTCAATATAAAATTCTTCTGCTTCTGCTTGTCCTATAATCTTATCAAAAAGAATAGCTATCATAACTTATAATGGAAAGAGGCTTAATGGCTCTTTCTGGAAGAATAATCCCTTTATTGAAAGGAAAACATTTAAGTATACAGGTTGAAAGTAAATAATACAGTAAAGAAACTATCAGCTCACACAACTGTAAAACCCAGAGATAGGGATATTTTAGATGAGGCTGGATCCAATGACTCAAGGATATCCAAAACACCTGGGTTCTTTCTGTCTCTCCTTGTCTACTTTATTCTGAGGCTGGTGTCATTCCTAGTCCCAAGATGGCTTCTGGTGCCATATGATTTTATGTGTGTGTCAGAGAGGAAAACTTTGTTTCACACCCTCTATAATCACTGGGTAGCCTGCTCACTTCACACGCTGACCCTGACTATGTACAACTGCTGCAGTCAAGAGGATGGAATACGATGGTTAGCTTGGCACATTCTACCCCTACTGAGAGGCAGTAAGGTCGGCTTCCACAAAATCACATGTATCTCTAAAGGACATTGGGAAGTGTTGGGAAGGGAAAAGAGGAAAAAAGAGGCTGGCAAGGCATCTAACAAATGTTGACAATATAAGGTCTTGGGGAGCCTTGGTCTGTGAAACCTCCCTTCTAAGGAGAATAGGATCACTCATTCCTATCATTAGGAATAAAAGGAAAAGATGTGGACTTCTCCCCTGTCTTTAGAAAATGGTATCACATGAGCTTTGCTTTGAATTTGTTCTGCTCAGGGGAAAGTGTTATGGTCTAATAACTTTCAAATAAAATTATTCTTCTCAATTTTTGAAGTCATTATGAAAAAGTAAAAGACAAGTAACAATATAATATATATTCTGTTTTGAGTATTACATTTTGTAGGAGAAATGTTGACATTTGACCTTATTTTCAAGGAAAAATAAGTTGAGAGAACTTTAGGGAAAAGGCTTCCATTTGTCTCCACTTGTTTAAATCAAGTAAAAGCTGATTATCCTATTATTGTTCTCATTTTCTTCTTCCTCTGTCTCTCTCTAAACCCTACCCATTTCTCTCTTTCTCTCTCTCTTCATACATACACACACATACACACACACATTTTTTTTCTTTTTCTGCCCTTTCACTCCATTTCCTCTTCCTCTACACTTTTCATTCTTCTTTTTTAAAGATTTTATTTGTTTATTTATTTCAGAGAGAGAAGAGAGGGAGAGAAACATTGATCAATTGCGTCTTGCACACCTCCAGCCAGGGACCTGGCCCATAACCCAGACATGTGCCCTGACCCGGAAGGGAACTGGTGACCTTTTGGTTTGTGGAACAACGCCCAACCCACTGAGCCACACCACTCAGAGCTACCCCTTTCATTCTTCCTTCCCTCTTTGGAATTCTCTTTACCCTTTTCTTCTCATTCTTCTCTCTCTTTTCTCTCATATTTTTCACTCATACTCTCTTGCCAAATGTGTCCCAAGAGAGTGATTAATTTAGTAGGAGGAGAACAGCTCTTTTTTATTCACAATGTCATGAAAACAAGTGTGACATGAGCGGCAGTGACAGGCTGTCTTGAGGAGAGCTTCTCCCAGTTCTCTGTGCCCTCCAAACTACATCAGAGGACGAAGTCTCAGCAGTCTGGTAGGAACTATGCTGGCTTCACCAAAATGTTCTGCATTAGCCATTAAAGGAGAGAGACCCCGGTCTCTTTATTGGTGAGCTGTACAGTCTGACTCTTATCTTCCTAATCCCCATACCACCCTCCAGAGCAAAGAAAGCAGCTTAGTTTTCTCACCTCCATTTCAGAGTCTGGAAGGCACAAGCCCTAACAGTGTGAGCGAATGACCAGATTTTTAAGCTTAGGGTATTATTGTCTTTATTTCTGACTGATTTTCCAACTCTGACATTCCTCAGAGTAGCATGAAATCTCTTTTCCAAATAACTTTATCCATTAATCATTAGAATTATCAAGGAGGACGACTCACAAACAAGAGACAATGACATTAAAGTCAAGTAAAATATAGTAACTCTTGCTTATAAAAGAAAAACATTATGCTTTGGGATCAATCTAAGCCAAATGTAGCCCTCAGATACATAAAATAAATTCATTGCATATTTCTTTAGGAAACCTGATATTATAGAAAAGTTTTGAGTTTATTGAGTTTGAGTATGTAAAATAGCTATGTGTAGTTATCAAAATACCCTTGTTAGGAGCATAACTGAGGAGATTAATACAAAAGCTCTTATAAGATATACAGCATGGAAGTTTTGATCAACATTCTCTAAATAAAGACACAATTGCTAAAAATAAAGGGGGAAAAATCTGACCTTGGAGACATAATTCTAATTTTTAGAGTTTACTTACAAAAGATAGAAGATTAATGATACTTTATGTTGCTTTTATATCTAGTTTTAAGGGCTGTTCTTATGATAACAAACATATGATTTTCTAGAAGTGAAAAATTTGCATATAACTATCATTTCATTTCCTTCAGGGTTGTGTATGTGCATGTCTGTGTGTGATTGTGCACAGCCATTGTGGTTTATGGCAATTTGTATTAATGGAAGAATCAAGATTAGAGTTCAGGCAATAATCAACAAACTTGTACTAAGTGCCTGCTCACTTGACAGCATGCCGTCTATCTAGCTTTGGGCCTGCACAGTTCCCAAGAATCTCATAGTCTCATGTGGAAATGGACATTTATTTAAATAATTAAATTACAATAAGATGACCTCTATATTGCAGGCATGTGAAGTATACAATGGGAATATAAGAAGGGAATCACGTAAGAAGACTTCCCAGAGGAGGTAGTTTTTGAGATGGAACTTGAAGAATGAGTAAGAACAAAGAGAAATGAAGAGGGCTTCTTTTCCATGTAGAGAGACTATCACATGCCAAGACATGGAGGTAGGATTCAAGTTGACCTGTTTAAGAAACCACAAGTGGTTTATTATTGCTGCACATAGGTATGAGCATAGCATAGAAAATGAGGTGTGATCAGGAATCTGTGGGCAAATCACAAAATCCATTTTATGCCATGCTAAAGAATGTCTTAAGAATATGGTTGCTAATCCATAGACCATAGAAAATCATGGAAAGCAATTAATTGCGTTGCCTCTTTGACGTATCTAAGACTTTCTAGACCAAGTGCCGTTTCATTATATGTGCTCTCTAATACAGTAGTCACTAGTCAATGTGACTTATGAGTACTTGTTATTTGGTTAATGTGACTGAGGAAGTAAATATTTTATTTTATTTCAGTAAAAGTTAAATTTAAATAGCCACATGTAGCTAACAGCTACCTTACTGGACAGTGCTCTTCTAGGCTAAAGCCCTTGGACTATATCTGAACTAAAGTTTCTATGCGAAACTTCCAAGAAATGGATTCACAAAGTGTGTGTGGGGGGGGGGTGGGGAGGGTTGTAACTTCTTAAGAGTTGTCACTAATATCATATGGGGTTAAAAATCTTAGCAAGGGTTGTACTTCACAGAGATTATTGGTATCATATACAGTTAACAAAGAACATACATTTGTCTTAGTAACCAGGATAATGGGATCAATCTAAGTACTCATGGATGCATAGCATTGTAAGAATGTTAGATTTTTAACCAGATACATTTTTGGAACATCAAGGACAACTATCTAATGAAAATACAGAGAAATCAATTTGGGCTTTTATTGATCACATTTTTCCTAATGGGAAAGAAATTGCCAAGAGTCTAATTTAAAAAATAAGCTACCCATGATAATATTTTGAAACTTTTTTACTATAAAGACTTTTAAAATAAATTTCCAAAAATAGCTTTCAATATACAGCAAAGTAATGAGAAAAAGAGCTAAGAAAGAGAATGGACATGGGAGCTCCATTAGCACCGTGACTTTGTGGACAGAGGCACACACAGTACAAATGCTTAACAAGAAGAGAGAGGGTGAGGCCCCTCACTGACTCATGGACATAAATGGGAAACCTAAGGTGGAAGTGTGGTCAGGACAGAGCAGTATGAAGAGACAAAACTATGGAAGAGATAGAAACAGCAAAAGAAAATGTTTCAACCTAGAGAATGTAAAGTAAATCTCTAGCCTTGACAGAGAAAGTTAAAGAGAATTATGGAAGGCAAATAAAATGTTTAATTAAAGAATCTTTCAAGGGGTATCAGTCACATGATTCACAAAATAAAAAATATAAAAAGTATTATTCTCCATCTATAAATTTTATTATATTCATCTAATAAAATGCTAACTTCTATGGGTAGAAATGAGGAATAATCTTATATCCTTCCACTCCCATAGATTGATCTCCAGGATATATTATTAACTTTTTAAAGGCAGATGGAGAAAGTTATATATCTATAAATAAATGCAAATATACACTGACTCAGGGTCTGGTAGAGGTAAAGCCTGCTTGAGTGTGGTTTGTAAGGTAATAATATAGATGTAACAATTCATAGTTTTAATTTGAAATTAAGTAAATGTCATATAGCGTGCTTGAATGTGTTCATGGATCTAGGCATTGAGCATCAACAATTGATAACATCACAAAGAGAGATAACCAGGCATTATATGTCTCCTGATAAAATAACAAACCTCTGCTTATGAAGCAGCCTGGCCCAAAATTTTAAACCTGATTTGATCAAGTATTTAGATCAAATTATTAATTTATAGGAAAAAAATAGAAGACAGAAATGCATTAAACTGCACCATGAGGATGCAATCGGAAATGAACAGTACAAAGGACCAGCTCCCTCAACAAATAAATTACAAAAGGAAAAGAGAATGGGTAAATACAGCTTGAGAATTATGCCAATTAAAAGAGGATTTAAAAACATAAAACCTGGTGTGATAGTTACATTTCAACTTGGCTAGTCTATGGTACCCAGGTATTTGGTTAAACACCTGTGTGATGTTGCTGTGGAGACATTTTTTAGAACATTTACATCAATAGACTTTGAATAAAGTAGATCATCTTCCATAATGTGGGAAGGCCTCATCCAATCAGTTGAAGGCCTAAGAGAAAAAACAGTAGTTCCCCAAAGAACAGAAGATTCTTCTTGCAGACTGCCTTTGGACTTGAGCTTCAACCTCAGCTCTTCCCTATGTCTCTAGACTCCTTGACCTATGCTGTAAACTTTGGATTTGCAAACCCTCCACAATTGCTCTATTTAAACACACACACACACACACACACACACACACACACACACACATTCTCACTCCATAATATATAGAGATAGATATAATATTATGAGATATATAATATTATCACATATTATACAATAATATAGCATAATATATAAGAAATAATAGATATCTTTCTTTTATAGACTATGAGGAAATAGGTACTCTTGTACATGGCTCGTAAGTACAATTCAAACTGATACAACCTTTATAGAAGAAAACTGGCAAATTCATCAAAATTTTTAAATCTATTTACTCTTTGACCCAGTGAACTCAATTTTGGAAATGTGATTGTAATTTAGGATTAAAGATATGTATGCCTCTCTCTCTCTCTATCTATCTATATATATGAAAGTAATTGTTTAAGTGGTTGTTAATGAATATGTGAGTTTTCCAATATTTTACTAGCATCTATTCTTAAATTTTTGTTTCTGATTTTAATAGACCATGTTCAACTTTTATTGACATTTAATATGTACCTCTATATGGTAACTACTTGGCTTGATGGATTTTGTACAACTGAACTACATACCTAGGTTAGGCGACAGGACATCACCAGAATCTCAGAAGCCCTTCCCATCACGGTCACTCCCACAGGGTAGTCACCATGCTGATTTTGTAACGGCATAAATTAATTTTGCATATATTTGTGCTTTATAGGAAAGGAATCCTACAACTGGAAAAAGAAACAATAAAACTGATGAATATATGAACAAGTACATGTGAAAGTTGAGGACCTAGAAAATGGTTTCCTAAAAACTTTCCATGCCTGAGTACCATCAAGGTTAAAATTTTTCAATATAAACATGTAACATCAAGTTCTAAATGCTATGGGTAGACAAAGTTGAGTAAGATACAACCTACGCTCTTGAAGGCCTTCAAGTTTATTTGTTGGGTTGGCCAAAAGGTTTTGGGTTTTCTTTTCTCCATAAGATGGCTCTAATAGCACTTAGTTGTCTTTAACTTCATTCAAAACAATTTGGTAGATTGTATTTTGACAGCGGTCATATCAGCATGCATTTTAAAAAACTTATCAAAGTTGGTGAATTTTTGTGTAGCCATTTTAATAATGGTGATGGAAGAAAATATGCAACACTTTCAGCATATTATGCATTATTATTTTAAGAAAGGTTAAAACACACACACACAAATATACGCATTGTATGGAGAAGATGCTATGACTGATCAAACATGTCAAAAGTGGTTTGTGAAGTTTTTTGCTGGAGATTTCTCGCTGGATGATGCTCCACAGTTGGGTAGACCAGTTGAAGTTGATCATGGTCAAGTTGAGACATTAAATAAAGAACAATCAATCTTATACCACATGGGAGATAGCCAACATACTCAAAATATCCAAATCAATAAAAGTATTGGTGAAAATTAAAAATGTATACTTTATTTTATAGAAAAAAACATATGGACTTTTTGGCCAATCCAATATAAAGATATATGTTTAAATAATAATAAAATAAGATGGTTTGCAAAAATTTCCTTAAAAACAACATTTTAGGAGTCAGATTTTAGGTTTCCATAACTTTATATCAAACATAGTTTTCTCATATCATAATTATCTTAAAAGAGAGGGCTAGTTGACTATTATAACTTAAAAATCAAAGGTTGGCTCTTTCAAGCATCAAAAATAAATGTTCCTGGGGCCATAGATTACTATTACTTCAAGGTCTAGATCACTCAGGGGAAAAAATTGTGGAGTGAAATTCTTAAACATGTTTTAAAACCAAGAAATCTTGCAGAGCAATTTTGCTATATCTATATAGATGAAGTTTAAAGTTTCTTTCCTACAACCTAACAATTTCAATTCTAGGTAAGCACTCCTAATAAAATCTTAAACACAGGCACAAGGAGGCTTGTCAAAGGATGTCCCACAACTTTGTACTAAGAAACATGGAAATTAGAAACAACCAAAACTGGTGACCAGTAGGAGAGTGAACAAATAAATGGTATATGTGAGCTATTCATATAGTTAACTATTACATAGCAGTTAACTTTTTATTTAAGAAAAGTACATGAATGCCTACTATATGCCAAATGCTGTGCTAGTTCTGGCATTCAGCAATAAGCAAGCCAAGACCCTATCACCAGGGAGCTTACAACTAGATTTGTATATGCTACATAGATAGAGAGCAAAACATGTGTAGGGAAAAACATAGACTGCGATATATGAAACATGTTACTTCTAAAATTATCCAGTAAGCAATCTTACATGTTATTTACACACACACACACACACACACACACACACTAGAAGTATTCTTGAATGACCTTATAGTACACATGCAAAAATCATAAAATTTGCTTCTAGGGAAGAAAAAAAGATGGTAAGACTGACAACGTGGGTCAAAGAAAATGTGAACTTTATTTGTAATTTTTATTTTTCATTAGAAAAAAGATAAGCCAAGTGCCTTGCAGACGCCACCGCCCTGGAGCTTCCCGCACTCAGCCACGGTCAGCCCCACTGTGTTCTTTGACACGGCTGTTGACAGCAAGCCCCTGGGCCGCATCTCCTTCCAGCTGTTTGCAGACGAGGTTCCAAAGACAGCGGAAAACTTCCATGCTCTGAGCACTGGGAAGAAAGGATTTGGCTGTGTAGTTTGCTGCTTTCGCAGAATTGTTCCGGGATTTATGTGCCAGGGTGGTGACTTCACACACCATAATGGCTCAGGTGGTAAGTCCATTTATGGGGAAAAATATGATGATGAGAATTTCATCCGGAAGCATATGGGTCCTGGCACCTTGTTCATGGCAAATGCTGGACCCAACCCAGTGGTTCCTAGTTTTTCATCTGCACTGGCAAGACTGAGTGGCTGGGTGGCAAGCACGTGGTCTTCTGCCAGGTGAAAGACAACATAGATGATGTGACAGCCATGACGTGCTATGGGTCCAGGAAGGGCAAGACCAGCAAGACGGTCACCATTACTGGCCGGACAACTCTAGTAAACTTGACCTGTGTTTTATCTTAACCACCAGACCATTCCTTCTGTAGGTCAGGGGAGCACTCCTTCACCCTCATCAGCTTGGAATATTCTATAATCTTCATGCTCTTGTCATAGGTCATTGAGTTCCGTATTTTCCTTACCCCTTCCAAGTCTAACTGGATTTCCAAGTTAAGATTATGATTATGAAATAAAAACTAAACAAGAAAATTTAAAAAGATAAGCCAATTTATCACAATATGAACAATGGTCGTGTCTAGGTATTGGAAACAACTGTATTTGTTTTAGTAATATCTGTTCTTTATTTTTTCCTTTCTTGACACTAAAGAAGCTGTGGCAAGGAAATTTAGGGTTTCAAGGAACAGAAGGTACAAGTTATAGAGAAAAATTCTGGAGGAGTTAGGTTCAACCTCGAAGTAAGAAAGATGCCTCTCCTCTGGGACAAAAGGGCAGGAGAGACGGAGATGACAGAAAACAGAAAGGATTTAGGAAACGAATAGGAAGTTGAAGGAGATTGCAGATGGCACTGAACTTCTCAGTAAAGCAGGAGGCAAGATCATCTTTTGAGTTCAAGGGGAAGGGAAGATCAACTAAAAACTAAAAAGTTTTTAAACAACCAATGCAGGGAACTCATTAAGTGAATCTCCAAGAAGAGATTAATAAAATAAGTACAGCACTGACTGGTGTGGCTCCGTGGGTTGGGCATGCAAGAGGCAACTGATTAATGTTTCCCTTGTACATTGATCTTTCTTTCCCTCTTTTTCTCCCTTCTTTTCCTTCTCTCTAAAGATAAATACATTCTTTTAAAAAATAACTCTTAAAAATAATAAGTACAGAGCAACTATAAGAATCAGGTGGGTTTGGTAGCATGAATTTTCAGTGAACTGACTCAGAATGGTTTCATTTCTTTCTCTAGTAAAACTTGATAGTGTAGGGGAAGAAAAGGAAAAATTAATTGGTAGTGATAAACGCAATTTAGGGAATGCCATGGTAGGAACTTTGTGGAAATGTAAGGTGGTAAGGAATAGGAGATTGATAATTAAAGCACCCTTTAAAGCTCTTGACTTGAGAGTCAGACTGAACAGAGGAAACATAGACCTGGAATGAGCTTTAACCCTCTTGGATTAGGGGTTTGCAAGGCCAAGGCACATGTGCCAGCTCATCTGTCCTCAGACCATTGACGGACATTACTAATTGATCTCAGCACCCTTTCTAACTTTAGGCTGGAGCCCTCAGAACCCACCTCCTTTCAGTCCTCCAGGGACACAGTCCTTAGAATGGACACACCATGTGAAACTTACTGGACATATCTGCGCCAGACAGTGAGCCCCTGCAAGAAGTTATCATGTCATATTAATCTCTAAGTGCTGTGCCTAGCACATAGGAAGCTCTCACTCAGTAAATAACTATGAGTAGAAGGAAGAGAAGGAGAAAGGAGAAAAGGAGGGATAGAATGAAATTAGAATACAGGGTCAAGAGAAATGAAAGAAAAGAGAAACCAAGAAAAGATCAGACTGGGGCCAGAATGGAGAGATCAAATCTGTTGATCTTTGAGGTGAAACTGTTGCCAGCAGTTAAAAAAAAAAAAAAGAAAAGTTATAGGTTTGTGTCCTGTAAAGAATGAAAAAGATACAAAATTATTGATAAACCCTAACTCTTAATTTTCTTCTGTAAAGTGAAGGAGAGTTTAGTTAAACTGTAAAGTTTAACCACCCTAAAATAGTGCTCTTTTGGTATACTGCTCTTAAGCTGGTTATTGAGAAATGAAAGACTCATGAAGAATCTTTGGCCCTCAATTTTTCCTGCCTAAGACATTTAGATGAAAAGGCCTGTTCCAGAAAGGGACTCTTAACATATGAGGTCTGTCCAGAAAAAGTTCATTGTTATTATAATGGAAACAGTTTCCATAACATTGATGTAACCTGGCAGCCAAGGAGAGTTGACTGGGACGTGCATGCATGAACAATGATGACTTCGCTGTACTAGTCAGTAGGGACAGTGGACACCATTGAGTGAATCTGTATACTGTGTGGCCATGGCATTCAAAGTGGCTGAGCAAATAGAACCACAAATCTGAATCAAATTTTGCATTAAGCTTGAACATTCTTCTGCTGAAACTATTCGGATGGTTCAGAAGGCTACAGGTATGGGCAACTGGTGATTGGCAGCTTCATCACAAGAGCACACCTGCTCATGCATCATGTCTTGTGCAGTTTTCTTGTGAAACATGAAATCACACAGGTGACTCAGCCCCTCTACAGCCCAGATTTGGTGCTCTGTGACTTCTGGCTTTTCCAAAACCAAAATCATCTTTGAAAGGGAAGATTTCATACCATCGATGAGATTCAAAAAAATATGACAAGGCAGCTGATGGCAATTGGGAGAACTGCATGAGGTCCCAAGGTGCCTACCTTGAAGGGGACTGAGGCATCATTGTCCTATGTACAATGTTTCTTGTATCTTATATCTTCTTCAATAAATGTCTAATTTTCATAGTATATGGTTGGATACTTTCTGGACAGACCTCATAGTCACCTTAGCATTAGCTAGGAAGGCTTAGGCAGGGCCTTGATGGCTAGACCCTGCCTTGTATCCCATTGTTTATGGCTTGCATAGCAGGAATTTGCCTGCCATAAGTAAACTACCTATAGCTGCAGAGCCAGCCCAAAATGGTCTTATCTTGTTCAATGAGATACTGAGTTGCTTTCCGGAGAAAACAGACCAAAGCCTCAAGTCCTGCAGCTGAAGCACGTGCAGAGGAGAGAACTTTGACCTCCAGCTGTACCTGGAACCAAAGTACCTGAACATAATTAGAACTTTAACACTGGGGCTTGTTGTCTAGGAGGATCTGGTTCTGATGCCCCTTACCATCAATGGCCATGCTCCAAGGTCTTCCAATGAAAACGTGTCCACCAATGCTTCCACATACTGGTTCCCTATAAGCCTTTAAAAACCCACCTGAACCCTGAACCAGGGAGTTGGAGTTTCTTTAGCACAAGCTGCCCGTTCTCCACTGTGTAGCACTGTACAATAAATGCCACTTTCTTTCACTGCACCCTGGTGTCCACATAATTGGCTCTCAGCAGTGACAGGTGGACAAATTCTTTGCTCACTTACATACCTATAAATTGCCTATTCCCTTCAAAGTCTCAAACCACTTCTTCCTTTCTCCTTTGTTCACAATGGTGTATAAACATCAATGACCCAGTCTCCAAGTCTGACATCTCATCATACCTTACGACACCCCCAGCGCGTACATCTGTAATAAACTTTGTACATTTTCTCCTGTTGATCTGTCTCTGTTAATTTGATTATTAATCCAGCTAGAAGGACTTAGAAGGTGGGAGGAAAAGTATTATTTTTAGCCCCCACAGAAGTCTTCTCATTGCTTTCCTACAAAGAGTTTTCCTTCTAAGGGAGTTTAGAAAAGGTGATACGTTATAGCTGAACTTTAAGTTGAGGCAGAGTAGTCTTAAATAAACTTTTGCCACCTAAAGATTTAAAACTCAGAAGATCAGTAATGTTTTGTTTACATAATACAGATTTTTATGAGGAAAAAGTGCCTTCCATCACACTGTTAATAGAACTACAGAATTTTTAGTTGACAAAAGTACAGAAATTTTGTATTGATGTTCCCATAAGAAGCCTGAAAAACTTTATCTAAGTTCTGGTACGATATGGAGTAGAAGGAAAATATTTCTCATTCTTCCAACCTTTAATTTAAAGAGAAAATTGAAGATACCTAGATGCCTGAATTTCTCAACCATTGAAAATTCGGTAGTAATTATGGCTGCAAATGTTCTTAGTAATGCCTTCTTAACATTTACCTGAAAATAAAATTAATTAACTGCTTTTCTCTCCATGTCATAACTTGAATTAGTTTAATGTGGTTGTTCTCTAACTGGTCTTTTATGGAAAGATTTTTTTTGTTTGTTTATTGTCCAAACTGCCTACAGTGAATTGTCATGGAGCAAAACTCACCAACTCTTCTGTCAGCCACCTCACTGGTGGCAGGACATAGCTTGTTTATAGATGTCAACTCAACAACACATGAGTGTGGGGATAAATCTTTAGGAAATATGTATAAAGTATTGAAAATGAATGCCTTTGCTCTGGCTAGGTATCTAATCAGTTAGAGTGTCATCCTGATATGCCAAGGTTTTGGGTGGACCCCTGGTCAAGGCACATACAAGAATCAACCAATGAATGAATAAATAAGTAAAACAACAAATTGATATTTCCTCCTCTCTTTCTTAAAATCAATAAATAAAAATAAAACAAAATAAATGTACCTTAATTGTATGCACAGGTAATGGAATATTCCAGCGTTTAAAAAGGGAAATTCTGCAACAACATGGATAAACCTTGAAGACAGTATGCTAAGTAAAATAAACCAGACACAAAAGGCCACATATTGTGTGATTCTACTTACATGAGAGATCTAGAGTAAACAAGTATATAGAGACAGAAAGTAAAATGGTAAGGGGAAGAAGAATGGGGATTAATTTTTAATAAACACAGTTTCAGTTTGGGAAGATGAAAAAGTTTTGAAAATGAATGGTAGTAATTCACAGCAATGTAAATGTATTAATGCCACTGAACTGTACATCTAAAAATGGTTTTAAAATAATGCCCTGGCAGGGTGGCTCAGTTGGTTGGAGAATCATCCCAGACACCAAAAATGTTGTAAGTTCAATTCCTGTTCAGGGCACACACCTAGAATGCAGTTTTCGATCCCTGGTCAGGGCACAAACAGGAGGCAACCAATCGATGTTTCTCTCTCTTTCTCTCTCCCTTCTTGCTCTAAAATCAGTAAACATATCCTCAGGTGAAGATTTTTAAAAAGGCTTAAAATAGTTTTATGTTTACATGTTTTACCACAATATAAATAAAATAAAATGAATAAAATAAAGGTATCTTCAACTATATTTTCAAAAGCAAAGGCAACTGTGGCTGATTTTGACTCATTATAATATAAATAACTAGAAGATTTTTTCTTCATTAAAAACATTGTTACATCAAAATAG